CGCAGCTAACGACAATTGCATTCAATAGGATACGCTATTCAACAACTGCTCTACCTAGATTAAATACCGAAGAAATACAACATGTGCAACGGCAGAGTGTCGTACGAAAGTCTTCTCTTTTGTCATTGTAGACTATCCAAACAAAATACTTAATTCACTTTACACTCCAATAGCCCCTATACAACATAACATGCGCATGTTTCTTAGGACAAGTGGTTAAAAATACAGAAAAGTGGCAACCACAGAGCACTAAATACTATCTCATTGTTGTCGTCGCCTAGCAACAATTACAACAACATTTGAAGCATCGTTGACCGCTCATTGAATGACCTTTTCATATTGCTCGGAGTATCTTGAAATGTTTATAAATTAATACTGTTAAGTTTAGTTTCATCAGACAAAATAGTTTCGCAAGCTCTCTCATGTATCGAAATTAAAACACAAGGCCTGAAAGTGCAAGCTCACTTTGCCCACGTGGCAAGTTTGAAAATTACTGGGAAGTAACAACAGAGGTACAACCTTTGATTGTTGATAGAATTAACTATTCAGTATTCAAAAGTCAATGTTACAACTAAGAGTGATTCAAATAATTGCAAATAAGGGATACTACTACCAAACAAGTCTTCAAATTACAACAGACGCGTTCACTATTAGAGGACAACACCAAAGAAGACACTTTGCGGACCAGGACTCGTGGATTTGCGACTAGTGAACATGTAAAAGATTTTACATAAAAGGATAAGAGGACAAGTTTTGAAAGGGGACATTTGATGGAAGGATCACCCAAAACTACAATTAATTGACCACTTACTAGATAACTTACAGCATGATAACTCTTAAGAGGACACATTGCGACAGGTAGGCCTAATATTACAATTGGGCAACTTACACCAGGGCAATGACACCTTTTAAGAGGAAAAGTTGAGAGAAGACACTTTTGTAGAGGAAAACATTCGACATGACACTCTTTAAGAGGGCAAGTTTCGAAATGACACTTTTTAAGATGACACGTTTCGAAATTATACTTTTTAAGAGGACAAGTTTCGAAACTACACTTTTTAAGAGGACAAGTTTTGAAATGATGCTTTTTAAGAGGGCATTACACTCTTCAAGAGGACAAGTTTCAACAAACCGTTCTTTAAGGGCCACAACTTGTTCTTTAGGGGGACAAGTTTCGACAAATCGCTCCTTAAAAGGACAAGTTTCGACATTGACATTACACTCTTCAAGAGGACAAGTTTCGAAATGACACTCTTTAGGACAACTTACCGGAGACGTATCGTTGCCTCCGAGGAGCGCATCTGCAGCTGACCAACATCGCTGATTCGCTGACAAACACTCAACTAGTTGTACCAGACTGCGAGACAACTACACTACAGAAGATAACCCGCGTGTCCAGCTGATAACGGTGATAACGGCTCAGAGCGTCTTTGTCCCCCGATACCGGACAACGTGCCTCTTTGATACGATAAAACTCTGTTATCAATGGAGGGGAAGCGTTTAATGTTTCGTGTGTTGGTTCTATGATGATATCGCGTTAAGTGAGACGTTTTACTTACTGTCAACAGACAATATTTACAACTTTGCCAAACTTTAAAAAATATGTATGCTCTTTTACAATGAACTTCCCACTTAAAAACACATAATTCCATAACTGATAGCTACGCACAAGCCCCTTCCTACGTACACTTGTGCCTTTAGTGCATATTATTCACTAAGTTCATATTATTTATAGAAAGTATATATGTTTTGTTATTTTATAGATAGGAAGGAATTGGTCGAACTATTGATCTGTAGTAAAACATTCCATGTAATAATGTGTTGTTAACAATGGAAATAAAAAGATTTTTATATATTACAAAAAAATAAACAACACTTTTTAAATTTTACACCAAACTACGTGTTACTATTGCCTCTTAAAACCGATTCATAGAGTAAAGTTTGTAGCTGATATGAAAACAAATTGTAATAAAATCATCTTTGGGGGGTGGACACAAAACTCAGATAAATTTTATGAATAAAAAATATGCAGTAAAATTTCCTATGTTTGTACACACAGTACCTTAGTCGACAAGGTGTCTAAATACTGCTTTCCGTCAGCATGACAATAAAACTGCACTATTTATCATTGACAGATTTGAATTAGCTACTAGTTATTTATCTACAGTCGTCAGCGAACTAATCGCTCTAGAGAATCAAACGCGTTCGCCCTCTATGTCAGAATAGACAAATGAATAGAGAAGTTATACAAATGAAACTGTCGAGCCGATTCGATCAGTGAGTTATAAATTAGTTATTGTCACTATTTTGTGCAATGTCACGCATATTTTATGGCTGCGCTATTACGGCATAATTAGGAAATACGTTCCAAATCTACTAAATCAATTTCTACCCTAAAAATCCGGTAAAAATACCCCAGGACAGAAATACACACAAACACGAAAATACAATGAATTGGTAGTTTAACGTAGCCTCATGTAAAAAAAGGTTGGTGTGTGGCAACGTCGCACCGGCCGGCCTATTGCCATGATAATAACAGTAATAACAAACGTCAAAACATAAACATTGCGCAGATGCTCCATTGTGAATAGTGCAACAGCTGTTTCGGTAGGCTGGCAATGCGGCGTTGCCACTTTTGTCTCGCCACCGCCTTGTAGAGGTTATGAATTTACGCATCGTAATGCTCCCGAGTGGTTATGTTAATTTTACCAATTCTTACGTAACAACCTAAATAAAAAATACCCCCGCCGCAGCAAACCTGCCGTCTTAGCGAATTTCCATTTGGCTGAATTGATTTTCAATTGATCTATTTAAATAACATTAGGTTTAACGAGTACCTAGGTTTGCTGCTACAAGGAAACTAATAAAGTGTGTGTTTTAAGTAAAATAATTATTGCTTAGTATAAAATGAATATATTTGCCAAGTTTGATCAAAAGATATCCATAAACAAGCAAACTACAACATTTTACAATATTCTCCTTAAGAATAACATGGGAATTTTAAATTGACCATTTTTTTACTTTTCTCCGTAACCAATAACCGTACAAAAACACTTTGATATACTGAATTGTTTGTTTTTTTAAGCTCTTTAAGAAAGTTTAGAGGAAAATTGGGAAATTTTGTGTTTTGAGGGTCAAAAGTGAGAAAAACCAATTTTTACCCCATAAAACCCCCCATAAAACCCTGTTCCCATGGTCCGATCATGCTGGATCGCGAACTCATTCAAGTTTATCCCGCCTTACACCTTTAAACCAAATTTCATCAAAATCGGATAAAAATTACTCAAGTTATCGTGTTCACGGACACATATATATATATATATATATTAAAATTAAAACATATATAACAAAGTACCCTTTTAGTAATTATTTTATTTTTCATGACGACATGTTTCGGAACTAAGTCCATTGTCAAGTCATTTTTACCATAACCTCATTCTTTTTATTTAAAAAATTTTATTTAAAATCTTTTTATTCCTTCATTTTTTAAAAAGAATGAGGTTATGGTAAAAATGACTTGACAATGGACTTAGTTCCGAAACATGTCGTCATGAAAAATAAAATAATTACTAAAAGGGTACTTTGTTATATATGTTTTAATTTTATTATATTAGTAGCCCTAAAAATGCAAGAAAATAATATATATATATATATATATATATATATATATACATATATAAAAATTTGAACGAATGGTGTTTTTGGCCTCTGGGGACATCAAAATGAAAAAGTAAATCGGTCCCGGGCCTAAGTGTTACCATGAGACCTACGGTAATAGCTACTTCCCTATAGGGAAATTCGCTAAAAACAATACTTTTGACCAATTTCTTTCTTATAAAAAAAAAACAAAAAAAACTTGGTAATCCAAACAAGCAAAACCGAAAGTTTCGTAGGAGTCGGGAGTGTATACCTTGGCTGTGTCCACAAAACCTATACAAAACTGTTTATTTGGTGGTCACTTGAGTTATAAAACATCACTGCTTCTCTGGTCGCATGAAATAATAGATCAGTCCGCACAGAACACGACTTTGGAACTGAGGAGAGTGAATACTGTAACACACCGACTGGTTGGCTGGTTGGGGTTTGGTTGGTTGGTTGGTGGCTGGTGGTTGAGATAAAGGTGGCAAACAATGAAGAAATGTGGGACACCAATCAACACCAATACAACTACGTGTGCGCTGCAAATGTCATCAACGCTCTACAATAACATTGATAGATTTGTTACTTAACTAATAGAACATAGACTCGTTTACAAGGGGAGGGGGCTACAATATACAGTGACCAAATATAGATTAATATTTAATTATTTTGTTTGGAATTTATTGTTATAAATTTATATCTTACTACAAAATACCCTACAAAGTAACCTTAGCTAATATTTTGCCTGTCCCTGTACATACAACCAAAGATCGTCATGATTTCTCAACGGTTTATTATTAGAAGACTACAAAACAATTAAACCAAACTTGCTCTTTGTCAACAAACAGAAGAAAGTCGCTCGTGTCGACAAGGACTGGCCAAACTGTTTACGTCCGTAATGCAGGATTTGATGTCGCAGAAACTCTCTATAATCACTTCAACAACAAACCCTAGACAAACTTTCATCAAAACTAAGGTAGAAGACCTCCAATCGACATGTTAAAGATGTATAAAGTTTTAGAAAAAGATTAAAAATGTTGAACTTGGTGCTGATAAATTTGGTTTGTAATCACTTTTCAACGGAGCTAAACTGAACGGAACTTGTTATCAATAACATATTTTAGTGTATATGATCGATGTATCGAAAACTAAGGGAGAACTTATAGTTTTTTCAATAAAACATTGAATTGTTAATTTAACTGCTACAGCTGGTCCATGTAGATGGGATGTCTACTTATAGTCTGTGTGAAGTAACCTGGCTTTTGACACTTCGTCTAACTGGGAACTTTGACCAGTCTCCATGTAGAGGATGGTCAGGAGACAGGTTCCATCATACAGCGTATAGTCAAGATGGTACTCACCGAGTTCATGGTCGGCCGTCCGTCTGTTGGGGGATGTAGATGGAGCGGTCTTGGGGAACCCAGGGGGCGGCTGCTTCAGCACAGCCAGGGGTACCAACCCCTCCGGCGGCGAGTCCACGGCACTTCCAGAAGTTGGCATCCTGACCAGGCACCACTCTGGGTCTCCAGGTCGTACCTCCACAACCTCCACCTGTTGTCCCTTGGACACCGACAGCTCGGCGGAGCCCGCCGCCACGTGGTCGGCGATCACCCATGTCATCTCCACACCGCCAGTCTGAAACAAGAGAGGAAATTTAGAAGGATGACAAAGCCGTAGAACAGGAGTGTACAACACTGGAACAGAAAGTGCACTTCTGGATGTTTGATGTACAACCTTCCAATCCTTGGACGTTTAAGTTCAAGTCCGGAACCGTTTTCACATTCAGGCTAGGCCTAGATGGCCACGGTTATCACTCTGATAAATTGGTGTTTGACAGTATTTGAACACAAAACTTCGGGGACCAAGTCCGGCCCTAGATCACCTTACTCCCGTTCTTCTGGAGGTATAAGTAAATCAGTAGGCAGTAAATATAAAAGGATAACAGGAATTTCGGATTTTTAGTAAAGGTAAGACACATTTCTGCTATCTGACATAGTGTTACTGTATGAGAACACCACATATAAGATTCCTTATTCTGTCAAAACATACATAGTGGGAAGAACAAAACAAAATGTGAGGTGTGGTCGAGTGAAACATTTAAAACGTTGTTGAGAAATACACAGTGGAACCTCGATAAGAAAACCCTCGATAACAAGTCACCCTTGATAACAAGTGTCATTTTCCTTGAAATTTTTACCCCAAATCACATGTTATTGCAAACCTCAATAAGGAGTCAACCTTGATAACAAGTCTCATTTAATAATCCTCTTGAGAGTCTTGTTATTAAGGTTCTACTGTATCGCTTTAACTTCGGAGATATTTAGAATAAACCAAGAATATTTGTTAATCTAGCAAAGCAAAATGTCTTAATCTTTCTTAATATATCACACATAATTGTTCAAATATATTATTTTAGGTTTTCCAACAGCCTTATGCAGGTCCAAAAATCAATGACGCAGCTTGTATTTGCAGCGACCAAAGCCAAAAATAGCTTGGATATAGATAACACGACACCTGTGTGTATAGATAAAGGTAATGGACTGCGGAGATAGGGATAATACCTACGTACACGGCTACGTCGCTAACATCACCATGAGTCACAGTTTGGTTTTGCGATTGAATAATATGAGCCTGCGATGTGGGAATGAAATGCTGCATCTCTTTTCACTTTATTGTTAGATCAATGAGTACGTAGGTCTGCTGCTGATGGAAAATAACGATTTTTACGATGTCATTGTATTCAACAACCAAAAGATATTAAATTAATTTTTGATTGTGGTAGAGAGAAGGGATTGAAATACCAATTATAATTTGAAAAGAAGATACAGGAAAACATACTCGATTTAATTATCGGTTGTATAACTAAAATGCAGAAAACAAAAGTGTTTATTTTGCAAAAAACACATTTTTGCGAATGAGTAAAAAGAAAAAGAAAAAAAGAGGGAAAAAAACACGACATGGGAACTGAAGTCCTTCGCTAGCCTCTACATTTCCACCAGACTCTATCTACAGTTTCGCTAAATGACAAACTTATACAAACGCATAGCAGTGCGCGAAATTCTATATATTCAGGCAAAAATGTTCACACTTACTACAGTAGTACTACTCTTTAAACATATGTGCGTAAAAAAGATTTGATGACCACCCCGAAGCAGCGTGGCGTGAGAAAAAGAAGACAATGGGAAGAAGACGTCAGTGGAAAAGGAAAGACCGGCAAAAGAAGTGGTTGATAGTGCAAACTGAAGACAAAACGCGACTAAAACTGATTTAAAGACATCACGCAACCTGAATCATTTACGACTTCAACTGACATTCAACAAAGAATCACTAGAGCACCCGCAATATCGACATGCCATGTAAAAAGTAAATTGTTAGAAACGTTTGTTTCTTGGGAGTTACAGTAACATTTTAGATTTTTCGAATGATGGTAGGGGTAAAATTACTACGCTAAAACCCTCCAATGAACGATAAAGTAAACAATAGTTGGATATTGCAAGAGGAATAATAAAAGCTATATACAAAATCATAGGAGATCTATTTTTTTATTATATTCCCGAAACCAATTAAGTTAGGAAACCGTTCTTAAGTTGGGACTAACAAAAAGGTTAGTCAAAGTATTTTACATGAACCATACAAAATATCATAAGAATAATATAACAACAAATACACCATTAACAAATATAGGCTACTGTAGCATCCTTTGTTTAGATTTCTTTGTTAGTGACATTGAGTTTAGGATGGTATAGGATCATTGTGGACCATCATGGATTAGTAAAATGCGAAAATCTATAAGAGGAATTTCCGCCACAATCATTTAAACAACTGAAACATGTTACTCAGAACGAGAAACAACATCAGAATGCAACTGTTACAATACTAGATACAGAAATAAATTCAACAGTCAGTAAAACAATAGCTACAAGTACTTTAACACTGTCCACAAATTGCATGGTGTAAAGGTAATGTTTTCGGAGATATGCCTTGTCGGAGTTGTGACTGTTGTAGGTAGAATTTACGACGTGTAGCTAAGTGACATCCCTACTTGGCTCACAGCCGGTCCCTGTATAAGGCTACATGGTCTAGCCCTAGCCATTGCTGATCTAATGAGCCATTAGAATGACCGGCACACCTGCCTGATAGCCTTATCAATTACACTGCAGTGCTCCTAGCTACGTGCGCTGGACTGTTTTACTAACAGGCTATCCCACAAATGTACTCTCCTCCAAACAGACTATTCTACATACAGACTACATCCAACAACAATACTGTCCTACAAATGGACAATACTACAGCCACAATATCCAGCAAATGGACTCTAACAGCTACAAATAGGCTATCTCCGAACAGTCTTTCCAAAAAATATAGTATCTAACAGATGGATTATTCTATAAAGTATAAATGGACTAGCCTGCAAATGGACTTCCCTCGAACGGACTATTCTATAAACAGACTATCCTACAAATGGACTGCCCTTCAAACAGACTATCCTACAAATGGACTACCCTTCAAACATGCAATTCTGCAAAGTACTATCCTAGAAACAGATTATTCTGCAGACTATCCTACAAACAGGCTATCCAGCAAATACACTATCCCACAAACAGACTATCTTGCGAATGCACTATCCTTAAATAAAATATAGTTCAAAAAATCAGATTATCCTATAAACGCTATTCTACAAACGTGCTTGCTTTGGTTTTGTAAAATCTATAGTATTTCCCCAAGATATTTCGAAACAGGGGAGTATTTCGATTTACGACTACCAGATTATTACAAAATACATAACACAATTTCCAAAAATATTGAACTCTGAGGCGCTATGTCTCGCTCTTTATTTTGTGTCTATGTACTCATATATGATTTATCTCGTCAACATAAGAATGTGTGATATGGGGAATTACAATGAGGATAACTGTCTGAATCAGCTTCTTAGTATCTGTGACTGTGAAAACGAGTAAGTTGATAATTCGACTGTCAAGTAAAGTTTATTAGACTATTTTTATGTCTCATATTACGTCCTTCGAAGGCTCTAGGAACCATTTCAAACTTTACTGCCGGCCTAGAGGGTCGCCTAAAAGCCATTTTGTGATTGGCATGATTCGTACCCGCGGCCTTGGAAACCGAAACCTTCACCACTAAACTAACCTCTCAGCTGACTAAGAGACTGTGGTACCACAATTAGGTAATTAGCATTCATTATTAGACTAATTATATAAACTGAATTTCATAGTAGACCAGCGACACTGTAAACGAGCAGGTACACATTCAACACTCCAATGAAGTTTTTTAGACTACTTCTGTAACAGAACTGTTGCTTCTCTGTGGTCCAAATTACCAAGATTTTATCCTCAACAACGATCTAATCTGGTACAAACTGACCCGACATTATAGCTACGACCACCCGGTCAAGCAGGGCCGGAACAAGGGGGGGGCAGAGGGGGCGGTTGCCCCGGGCGGCAGGGTTGAGGGGCGGCAAATTTCTGGTTGCAGAAAATTTGTTTAATACTGTTTGTAAAAGTTTTTAATGAGCCGAACGTCATAAGGAACGTCAATTAAGTAATTTCAAAACTGCATAACGTAATAAACAAACAATAATTTTACAATAGAAATCAATATAAATTGCAACGGAGTAGAAAACACTGAGAGCCCTAATAGCATAGTTAGCAGCACAGCAAAGTTTGTTTACAATTTCAGCTGATCGCCATCCCTGTCAAGGCGCCATGCCGCCCTGCCGTGGTTCGTTATATAGAGGTTAGGTTTCCAGGAATTTCGCTAAGTCGAGGTTCCAGAACCAGCGTCGATCAATATAGGTCGGGATTTGACCTCATTAAAATACAGTACAATTAAAGTAGCATGGGCTACAATTCTTTACAGTACAGTGTTTACATTGTACAGTAGAACCTAAATTATCCGGCATAATAAAGGGGAGGGATCTTGAATATTGCGCAATCATGACAATGGCCACAACCAATCACAGCTTGTTCTAACCCTCCTAAAACCTAGCCAAACACTGTATTGCGTAGTCATAAATTATGTAAAAAGAACAAAACAAAACAGTAGAAAGTTTTGTAAGCTACTGCTCGCGATAGGCCGGTAGCACAGACAATATAATACTTTATTGTCTGTGCCGGTAGGCTACTTACAGTACAGTACTGATTTATCACAACAGAGGAATGTCAATAATAATCATTAACTATAGCATTGGTGTTGCTAATGCTAGTTGAAACAAATCGTATTGAAAACAATAAATTATTAGATAAGTCATTATAAAAGAGTATAATCATAGCCAACTTAAGGATAGTAAAAATACTCGTAAAAGGAATGTTAAAATAGCGATGTTGTTATTCTTTCTCTTTGGTTTTGTTTTTATATTCTTTCTTAGGTTTTTCTTTATCAAAAAAATTGTACAATTCACCATAGTTATCCCATATCGCCCAATCACAGCTTACTAAACATTACGTCGTCATCAGTCCTCAGTGAATGAAATCAGTTCTCAGTTGCAACATAGCGCGCGCAGAGACAGCAGACAAAGATGTAAATTGTAAAACGGAGCAGAAGAATGTTAGCGCAAGCGATGAGGTGACCTTTCCATTTCATTTGATAAAGAAACAGATTTTCCCAAAACAATAATTGGG